GCACATCTTCTTTAACACAGTTACATCTGTACACCACCTCTCATTGATGTAAAAGCATGTCCCACCGCCGCGCGATTTCCCCGTTGATTTTGCGTCGCGATCAGCTCTAAACAGCTGAAAGCCCGGCAGACTCAACGCGCTGTCCGGAATGGCGTCTTTCAGCCAGGTTTCCGTGAAACACAGAGCAGCAGAGTTAGAAAAATCCTTATTTGTCCGGGAGAGCAGAAGGAGTTTGTCTGTTTTGTTGGGTAGAGAGCGGAGGTTCGCCAGATGGATGCTCGGCAACGGCGTCCTGAATCCGCACTGTCTGAGCTTCACGAGCGCGCCGGCTTGCTTCCCCCGTCTGCACGTCCTGAAGCGCTTGATCAGCGCCGCAGTTCCCCCGACAACAATTTCCAGCAAAACATCCGAATAGTCGAAAACCGGTGAAATATCGGGTGGTGTGTACTTCCGAATGTCCAGCAATTCGTCTCTGGTGAAACTGATTGCAGGGATATAACTAAAGACAGGACAAACTAACAAAAACATAAAAACAACTGCGGAGCACACCACGGAGGCAGCCATCAGCGTCAGCGCCATCTGTGATCACACACACACGATGCGCAAAACTCCACATTTGAACAGTCAATAGAAAATACTTAAACTAATAACAAAACAGTAGCTGATTCAGACGCGCCAGATTGTCATAGCAAAGTCAGAATTACCTCCTCTCCTAGGTTCATGAAACGGTCGTCCATAAAATGCATTGCTGTTCTGTTGACTGGATAGGCCAACAAAAACATTCAAATGCAATGACACCTACATCGTCATCGCATCTCGTGTGTCACTGATAAAGCTGCCTGACGCACACCTAAAATTCGAATGCAGCGTTTTTGCAATCGAATGTGGATTTTTTATTTGAATTCGACACATTCGAAATTCAAATTTTTATTTGACAGCCCTAATACATAAGTTGTTAATGTAATGAATGGTTTGAGAAATTAAAGATGACCTGATGTGCGGTTGTTGGCGATGCACTCTGGGCAGAACCATTCCTCTACAGGTACAGCGTCCAGCGGTGGTGTGAGGCATTCCATGTGGTACCTGCCATTACAAAAAACACAAAATGATATATAATCAGCGGTGCACAAAGTTTTTTTAATGACCAAAATTTAAAAAATGCATTTTCATGGCACAATGCAAAACTGTGACATTTCATTCTTCAATCGGCAGCGCATATACTTACTTGCCGGCAGCCCGGAAGTTTGAAAATGATAAATTCATAAATTAAATATTAGCATTTTATTTTTAAGTTTACAATAAAATTATTGTATTTTTATTTAATATGACCTTTTATTTTAAAATATAATAGTATCATGACACTTTATTTATTTTATTAAAAAAAAAAAAAAAGAAAAAAAAAAATGCATTTTCATGGCACAATGCAAAACTGTGACATTTCATTCACTGACGCTCTTCAATCGGCAGCGCATATACTTACTTGCCGGCAGCCCGGAAGTTTGAAAATGATAAATTCATAAATTAAATATTAGCATTTTATTTTTAAGTTTACAATAAAATTATTGTATTTTTATTTAATATGACCTTTTATTTTAAAATATAATAGTATCATGACACTTTATTTATTTTATTAAAAAAAAAAAAAAAAGAAAAAAAAAAATGCAATAATATTATAATCACTGTTAATTCATTTTTTATAGTTATATTTATTGGGTCACACTATGTGCAGTGTAAGGACCAAACCAAATCTCCAGGTGCTCTCATGAGAACCAGGCTGAAAAACGTATGTGCACCCCTGTATATAATGCATATATAATGCTTTAGCGCACAAAATGATTGCAGAGGTCCAGCATACAATCACCAGAAGATTGAGTTATGACATTTTCATTAAGAATTTCAACATCCAAAAAAAGAAAATAAAACACACTTCTTGATCTTATTGGTGACATTTAGAAAACAGATTTTAATGATCAACAATTGTGAAAATTCATCTCTATTCTAAATTATAATTCTCTAATCGATACTAGGCCTATATCTTTAAATTCAATGACTATTAAAGTTAGCCAGTGTCCAAATTGTCGCTGAAGTACCACAAATAAGCAGTTCACACCTGTTATTCCCAGCACTGGTCTAGATGGACCAATTATAGTCACTTGCGATCACTGGATAGAGTGATTATTTAATCATTTTGTGTAGATTACTGGGGAAGACGGACTCCATTTGTATATGTATAATAGATTTAAAACTCCTACACTTATGTCATGGGATTTGAACAAGGCCCAATGGAGGTTTGGCTTTATTAGCTAACAAAAACCAATTGAAGCAACTTTTTACTCAATAGGAAACCTTTCTAAGCACAAATACACACTAAATATGGTTCAACAGTGTTGCATTTCGACCATTATGACCATTTTTGGCAACACCGCTCCTGTACTAACAGATCTAAGTCAATGTTATTAACCTGATGCTAACGTCAACATCAAGTTAACATCAAGCTAGCTAATAAAAACACTCAACCAGCTTCATTTAAACTATACAGACTCCAGGAAAGTTATGAAGTGGATTAAAAATACAAAAGAAATGATCAATGCAAACCTCCAAAAGACATTTTATTTTGGGAATTTGAGCCTTAAAGGTCCCATATTGTACACCTTTCTGGAGTTTTATTTCAGGTTTTGATGTCCTTAAGAATATATATTTGCGGTATAAGTACCAAAAACCATCTCAATATTTTTTTACAGCTCCTCTCTCAGGAGCTCTGCTGAGAACAGGTCA